GTACTAACTTGCTATATCTAACAAATTTGGTCGTCTGCAAAATCATCAACTATGATTAACATTGAATGTAGTTTCTTCATCTTCCGTTCTTTCTTACAATGAATTATCTTTCTTTGTGTGTTAATTATTTCTTCCAGTTCTTCAGGTTGGTAGGTGTCATAATATAACTTTTCTTTTTCATCATCAACCTTCATATTATCTTTTTGATATTTCTTGACTTCAACGAAGGTAGGGTCATTATGAACAGACGGGCTAAAAATGAATATACGAGCGAAGCAGTCCCTATAAACATTTAGGATAAGGTTTTGGATTAAAACTGTAATTCCACCCGTTGATGAAGCAACAACAATTGAGCGAAAAGGTAGTTTTGGCACATGTTCATATTTAGATTGTTTGAAATCGTAATCAGTTATATTCATTGGTTTTTTATTGGAACATCAGACATAATAAAACAGTATTAAAGTTATTTAGAAAATATTTTATACTTATTATTTTATATGAACAGAAGTTATTCAGATTATATTGATATAATAGATAAAGTAGAGAATATCGAACAAGTAAGTTGCTATAACTGATAATAGATGTAAGAAAGTATGCTATTTTGTTTTAGAATTAATTAAGTTTGTGATACAGTATATTACAAATATAAATACTAATATAGATGGGAAGAAAGAAAAAGAACTAGGCTGAACCAGTTGTTTCTTCAACTGATGAAGAAAAAGAAGAAATTGTTAAAGAAACATCAGTTATTGAGTTTGCTTGTCCGATGTGTAAAAAGATGTTAGAAATGAAAATGAATTAGAAATTCAAAAGAAAGGAAATTGTAAATGTTCGTGTATTGCGACAAGTTTCAAGATAAGTAAAAATGATAAGAAAATGAGTATTGATAAAACTAAAGACAATATAAACTTAGAAACAGATCTTCATAATATTGCTATCAAATGGGGAAGGCATGCATCACCATCTGATAACGGTGATAAGGAAACACAGGAAACTATACGTGAAATGATGAAAAATTAGTGTTTAAAGGGTAGATTTAACATAACTGCAACATTTAGTTTTAAAGAATTACTTGTATAATTTAGTATATATGTCTATATGGAAGAACATTTAGAGAACATTGACAGTAGTTTGGAGTTGTTGTTTCCAAGACTAGAAAAAGTGTTGGAGCAAAATGAAAGCATACTGAAAATCTTCAAGAGCAGGAGTATTAAACCTACATACAATACCAATAACAATTATCAAGCAAAAGAAGTAGATAGAGACAGTAGCGAATACAAAAAAAACGAAACATTTATGTTAACAAACTGAATGAAAAAGTCATAAAAGAACCTAAACAATCAAGTCTGGATTACTATCAAGTCAAGTATAAGGAAGATACCAAGAAATACGTTTAATCATTAACTAACAAAATTTCGTGTCTCAAAAGCGGTTTGTTTATTCCTGCTACTTTGTAAGTTTTATTACCCAGAATATCATATTCAGTTTTATCAATATCGAATATTTTATTAGACCATTTAGAGTTATACTCCTTTCTGTCGGTGTAATTACCCCTTTTCTTTTGGAACACTTTTACCTTGTCGTTCTCCTCTATTCTGTGATACTTTCTTTTGTTTTTTCTCGTAGTTTAAGATTGACCTTTACATTTATTTCATTGTCGTCCTTGTGTGCTTCAGACGGTGTCATCCTTGTTGATGAGTGTGATGTGCTGTTATACTGTTTCAATGCTGGCGTTAGGGCGTCGGTCCATTTCATGTTGTTAAACCTAACTCTATCGTGAATTTTGTTTTTCATCGTTCTAATAAAACGCTCGGCTACATTTGCGTGGGTCTTCGTGACGATGTGGTTTACTCCTTCACTGTTGAAGAAATCCTGAACTTGATTTTTAGTTGCAAACGCGCCATCGTCATCGGAATACACGGACATCGGATAACCCATCGCTTGCTCTCAACGCCTTCCAAACGTGCTCTCCGTCTCTTTCCTCCATCGGCATTACATCTGCTAATTTACTGAAGATGTCAATCACGACTAAAGCATACTGTGGAACGTTCTTGTCTTTTGCTAAAGGTGACATATGCATTATGTCTATTTGATATTCATATCGTGCGAATGGAGCGGTATAGGAATTAGTACCTCTATAATTTTTGATTTGTTTATTAGGTTGTTTCTTTAAGAAAGACTTTACATCGTCTAATGTTATTGTTGGGTCTTCTTCCTTTGCCTTCTTGTGTGTCGCTTGTGTGCTTCCGAAACCCTCGTCTAAGTCGTAATAGATGTTGCTGACTACTTGGTCTTTTGTTAATCTCGCCATTATATTAAATTGTTAGAAAATAATTTTATCAACATAAACCCCCACCCCTTAACATGAAATAAAAACTACTTAAAGAAAAATCGATATAATATAGTAAGAGAAAAAATGACACTGTTTAATTATGATAGTTGTCCTTGTAAAAATGAAAACTGTAAGTCTGTCGTAGCACGAGCAAATATTCTACCAGTTAATGTTTGTAATCTTATAGGTGGTTATATTAAACCAAGATGTTTTGATTGTTGGTATTTGATGGATGAAGAAGAACATTTTATGAGAGATAAAAACATTCCTGAAGAAGGGCCGGAAAAAGCAGAACTTCAATTCACAATTATTGAACAAATGCAAAAATGATATTACACATCTAACAGGAAGTCATTATGATATGAAACAATACAGAAAAGGCATTGACAGAATATTTGATAAACAAGAGGTTAAAGAAAGATTTAAAACAATGAAAATGTATTATCAAGCATTAAAATCATACTGTAAAAATAACAGTCATGAAGTTAGTCTAATTTTAGGGAAATGTATTAAAATTGAACAACTAACATTTATTAAAAATAATGATTTTAACTTTCCTAACCTAAACAGCTACTGGTCATATAGAAATGAAAATTGTTATATGAGATATATTCTTAGCGAATTAATTGAAATTTACACAGACCAATTAATAGAAGGATACGAGCATTATTGTTGTGAGTATAGTATGAGTTGTTATAGTGGTTGCAAAACTACTTACAGAAACATTACCTTATATATTAAGAGGAAAATGAGTGAGGGTAGAATGTCAGAGAATAATTTTATGGTTGAGAATTGTGCTAGCTTACCTATGGAAGCATGGTTAAACATCGCTTCCTATATGATTGGCAATGAAGGGTGGCAAAGACTAAAACAGTGTAAAACATTAAGGGTCTTACAAAGGACATGGAAACCGTCTTTTTTTGAACGAGAAGGAGAAAGTAGATATTATGTGTTGATTTGCAATATATGTCTGAAAGGTGATCTCGCACTTTCATATGCGTTGAAACCACCAAAAGAATTATTAAGAATGATGAAGTATGATGAAGAAATAAAGGTTGGAAGAGAAGTTAGCTCGAAAATTATGTATAATAATAATATTTGCAACTGTAGTTCCTATGCATCAAGCAAACAGAACAAGATAACAAGTACAGCGTCATTACAACTTTATATTGAAAAACAGTTGAAGAAATAAAGCAGACTATGAAACGAAACGAAATCATTACTATAGAACACATTACATTTGAAATTCATACATAACAGAAACAATGATTTCATGGTTTAATCATCATATTTATTTATACTATGATTAAACATTGTTTTATAACCCAACAAGAAGGTTAAGACATTTAAATTACACCAGCAACCCCCTAGCCAAAACTACTTAAAGAAATATTACCTTATATATTAAGAGGAAAATGAACGGTGATGGAATCAATAATTATATCTATAAAAAATGCTATGATTGTTGTCACTTCAAAAAGGAGAATATGGAATTGTATAAATGGAATTTACCTAATGAAATAGTGAATAATATTATCAACTATTCAATGGATGGTGAAGAAGACATATGTAAAAATTGTAAAAATTGGAGAGATAATCAATTTTTAATCAAATGTCTGTTGGGAACAAAAAAGAATACATAATAGAAATGTAGAAGATGAGATTTTAATATTTTTAATTGTAAATAAAATACCACCTCACGATTACGTTAAACAGTTTCTTAAAATCAGTAAGAAAATGTGAAATGATTGATGATATATTATGGATGTTGGGTTATAGTCAATAGAAAGGAGAAGATGTTAAAGAAAATATCAATTTATTTATTGAAAGTAAAAAGTCTAATGTTCAAAATACAGTGAGAGATATTAATACTATTTTTAAAACGATGTATGAAAGAAGTAAGACAAATCAATTAGATAGTTATCCTGAACTGAAATTATAATCATAATATAATAATAACATGTAAAATCTTATATGTTATAATTATACTGAACTTTTTACCTATAAAACATCGCTAGACAATCACATAAAATCGCATAAAAAGAAGTTGTTAAGATATATTAAGAATGGTTGTGAAGCAAACTATAATGAGTAATTATGGAATGACAGAAGAAAAAGCAACAGAAGACTTTGGTGAATTCTTCAAATGTAACAGATGCCTTTATGATAAAACAATTGATGACTTTGGAAATGTAAAAAGTGGAAGAAGATATAAATATTGTCAAGAGTGCAGAACAAAATTAAATAATTGTAGAGATAAACGTCAAAGAAAATGCACGACCCACCAACTCCTCAGAACATTATAACTACTAAAAGGGTCAACTCTTTCAAATGAGAAAAATGTCGGCCCCCAGCCCAACAATAAACAAGGCGAGAATTTACCCAAATGATTACCTTAACGAAAACGATAAATAGACTCCCCAAAACACCCCTTTTAAAAACGAATAAGGGGGGACACAGATTTGAGATTAACATAAAAACCAGAACAGGCAACCATCAACAGGCCACCCCCTGGCTAGCCCCTTTTCTCAATTTTTTGGGGGTGGGGGGTGGTCGTGGTTGGTGTCATTTTGTGCCTTTTGTGTGTTTTGTGCTTTGAGTTCTATGTCAGCTCTTTGTTCCTTTCAGGGTTTGTGTTTTGTCTTTGCTCGATTTGTTCCCTCGTCAGCTCTTGAGCTATGCGCTGAGCACGGACCTGGGCCCCGTGAATGCTCTCGGCCCAGTGCACGCGAGCCGAGCGAGACCGCGCGGGACGCGCGGAGCGCGCGGAGCGCGCGGAGCGCGCGGAACGAGGCCAGGGACAAGTTCGCTTTCATCTCGGACTCCGCCCTCCCAGCGAAGCCCTTCGCAGAGGCACCGAAGCTGACGAAATCAGTGCACAAGTTTGTGACACAGGTCCACCGAATCCTCGGCGAGCGAGATGGCTCGGACTTTTGCGCAACTTGGCTGGAACATCAGGCGTTGAGTTCATATTTTTCTGACACCAGCTAAAGCTAGGCACACTGGTATGCGACGTCGTGCTTGGCTGAGGTCTTCCCACCAGGGGAATGGGCTGACATGCCCAGTGATGGTGACCTCGAGGCGGATGCCTCGGGTATGTGGAAGGTCGTGCATCGGAGTGGCCCGCAGGTCGCAGTGAAGGTGCACCAGTGGGTCACTCTGTCTCGGGACCACGCCGAGCATGCTTCAGCTGGGCCGCAAGCTTGGAAAAAGCTCAGCGTGCCGGGCTGGCTGTAGGCCATGTGGCAGAGGGGCGTGATGCACAATTTCATGTCCTACTTCAAGATGAACCAGCTGGGGTGCGCCAGTTTGTGGCGGCCAGTGGTCATGAGAAACGTCCAGGTGGAACAACGTGTTGGACAACAACTTCGCGGACAACAGAAACTGGGGCTGCCACAGCCCTAGACATGGTGTGCACCCCAGAGTGCCTTGATAAGAGTGAGGCCTGGATGAGTTCTGGTACCTCACTGCTTTGCGGCCTGGCCGAACCAGCGGCTTGGAGCCTCAAGTCCTTCAGTTCGAGTTCTGAGGTATGGCACCTTGAAGAAGGTCCGCAGAGACGGAGACCAGTCCATCGAGCTGCCAGGGTCAGCTGTCACCTGTTTTTTGTGGACAAAGCTGCGCGCTGCAGGTTCACTGGCTCGCCTCTCCGCATTGACAAGAATGCAGGCTGGCAAGCGCAGCCCCCAGCACGAGCGAATCCATCGCTACACGGCCGGATCCAGAAGCACTTGGGCTGACCTGAGGGCAAGTGTGACACCTTCGTCATATGGGCGAAGTGCGGCAAATGCAAAGGTTACTGCTCAGTCAAAGCTTCGTTCCAAGCTGTTCACGATGCGCTCAGTTGAGAGGGCGTTTCTTGCAAGGTACATGCACAGCTTGGGGCGCAACGAGCAGCAAAACTTGATGCTGCCACGCCGGCTATTTTGTGAAAAGACCAAAAACAAGTAGACAAATGTAAAAGGCTCAGGGAATGCCGTACCAAGTATGGTATATTCTGGCAGTTTTGACGCACGGGCCGTCGCAGGTCCCTGGACCCGCCTTCGGTGCCGCATGGCGGAAACTGGGCTCGGCGCGGAGCCCCGAAGCGAGCGGGATGCCGCGATGGCGCACTGACGAAGCCAACGCACAGCTTCTCTGAATTTTGCCTCCCATTTTGCTCCATGCTCTCAGGCCTGGATGGTGGGATACCATCTCTACCAAAGGCATTCACGCCATCCGCAATTCGGCGCGCCTGCCGTGTCTTAGCTTAGCAGCTTAGCAGAGTCGAGATCGAATCGAATTCCGTGGCCAGGACTTCCTCTTCGTCAGGAAGTTCATCGATAAGCCGACGCTCCACGACGGCGACAACTTTGCTGCAGCGTGGCCCCAGTTGGCATGCTCACGGGCGCGCGGGCACGTCAGATGGCCAGGTATTCCAAGATTGTGGTGCAGGATATTCCGCCATCCTCCCTCGCCTGACGCAAAACCCTTGCTAAAGGCATGCTCGCTTAGTTTTGCGCACAGGCGCAAAAAGAGGACGTAGGAGGCATGCGACTGGCTCATGGCTGTGTTCGAGTTCGCTCCCATGCTCCAAGTGCGGGTTGGTTCACTGACGCTCCTCGGCCGGCTCGTCCCAGTAAGGTTTTGGGGGCAGAGGTACTAAAGGTGCAGGCGGTTACGGCCTTACGGCCCTGCGCCATGGCCAGCTTTGCATCAAAGCGGCTCGCGCAGGAAAGCTTCAAACCCAATCGGGGAGTTGGTAGAGAATTGGGGATTCATTTGCAGGAGCGCGCAGCTTTCAAGAAAGATCATCCCTTTGGATTCTATGCAAAGTGCGCCCAGAGTCTGGCATCCGATCTGCGCACTTGCTGGTTTCTGCAGGTATGCGCCGAATGAAGACGGCAAGGGACAGAACGCGGGCTGACATGGGTTTCGAAGCGCACTTCGCTTTCGTGAAATGAAGAAATGAAGAAATGAAGAAATGAAGAAATGAAGTCGATGAAGAAATCGATGAAGTCGATGAAGTCGAGTCGATTGGATTTGATACACGAGAGAGGTCTTCAAGTGGAACTGTGGCATTCCTGGGAGAGCCAAGGGCCCTTGGGAGGCCAGGTGCATATGTCCTTACAGCCTAACGCGCAGCACATGGGCCACAGCCCGGGCATGCACGGCCAGGGTGCGACCTATGCTCTGACCATGGAGTTCACAGAGGATTACCCGAGCAAGCCGCCAAAGTGCAAGTTTGCACATGTGCGCCCGTCAGATTCGGCAGAGTCGAGACAGAGCACAGATGCGAGGTTCACGGCAAGCCATTGTTCCACCCGAACGTGTACCCTTCCGGAACTGTTTGTCTCAGTATCCTGAACGAGGATGAGGACGGAGAGGCCAATGAGGACTTTGCGATTCTTGAAAACTGAGGACTGGAAGCCTGCGATCACTATTCGTCAGATCCTTTTGGGCATCCAGGCGATCTTGTTTGATTTGCTCAAGTCTGCCACTCAAGCCCTCGAGACCCACATGGCTTGTTAAGGATCTTCTCGATAATCCCAATGCTGCATCGCCAGCACAGGACCATATGAGCTTTGCAAGCTTGAGATCCAGCTCGGAATTGCCGAGGAGGAACCTTATCGGCTGTTCTCCACCGACAAAACCGAGTACCTCAGGCACGTGTGTCCCTCTGGTGCCATGCGGGAACATGCCGACATGCCGACATGCCGACATGCCGACATGCCGACATGCCCAGTGCACGTGTTCAGAGAGCTCGGGACAGGCGGGTGAAGAAGCAGGTGGCCGAGGTCTCGCTGGGCGCGCAGAATTCGGGGGCCTGAGCCGACTAGACGGCCAGAGCGCGAACTTCGAAGGATGGCCAAGGGAAAACGAAGAGAGGGTCTCCATGTCAAGCCAGGTGTGTGACAGGCCAATGTTTCCTTTGTGCAGCAAATGGATCATACAGAAGCTTGCAGCTTGCAGGCTTTGGTCCAAGCTGGAGGCGTGTGAGGCAATGGCACGGCGGCAAGGGACACAATTAATGAGACAGGCCGCCGAGGCAAGCAATCAACCACAGCAAGATGCAAGAACCTCAACGGCACCAAATCAGCCTAGCATCACCCAGCACCGCCAAAGCACCGAAACGCTGCGGCTGCGGAATGCGTGGAAACTCGCGAGAGCGAGACGCGTGAGAAGCGTGACATTGTGAACGTGTCGCCATGGGGCGCCATCCAATGGGAACCTTGACATCTTTTAGCTTCTGTTTTGAGTGCATTCAAAGTTTCAACCTGAAGTCTGAGAGTGGAGCATGTGCTAATCTGACTGGTCTAAGGATGGTGCAACCGAATGAGGTCCAAAAAGGTCAACATTTGGGAGTACCGCTTCATGACGCCAGACAAGCCACTGGGAATGCAAAGAACGCCAAGCCGCAAGTGGAATCAAGTTTGCAAGGTGGCTTTGCAACCAGCCTTACTACGAGGCTGCGGCAATGCTTTGCACCTAATCTGTGTGGCCAAAGCATCACTTCCCTATGTCCAACTCGATTCTCGCTTCCAGTTGCTGGCAAGACCGTCTGATACCTGGCAAGGGTTCAAGCCTTCACGCAGGTGAAGTTCACCCGGCCATACTGGCTGACCAGGCGACACTCAGATCCGGTGGCGTCAGATACTTTTGGCACTCGCTGCAGGAGAGGCTATCCCAACTTCCCCAGAACCGACGCGCACCAGATCGGCAGCAAGGGCCAGAAGCCGGCGCCTTTCTTTTTTTCCGAGCCGACGGTCGGCGCCTCAGTTTGAGCCGAAGACGGTCTGGCCGCTTCCGGCCCAGGTATTGCGACATGTCCAGGCTGCACCAGCAGGCGGGACTTGGACTAAGTCGAGTAAGTCGAGTAAGTCTACTTAGCCGTCTAATTGAGCCATGTTCTTCAAGGTGAGGGTCTCGCGCAGGACTCAAAGAGCACCGACCTTTGTGAGTGAATCGGAGCGCAAGTCTCACCGCCACGAGCGCCGTGTGGAGCCAAAGACGTCGCGCCTTCAGCGCCGCTCAAGCATCAGCCGTGCCGTCTCTTTGCGCACCCCTTGAGAGGATCAAATGTGCACGGCACATGTCTTCGCTTTGTCACATAGCGAAACGTCAGCTTGAATCGTTTTGAGCCCACGAAGGTCACTCGCGCAATTTGAGCCGCGAGCCGGATGTGCGGATGCTTCCAGTTCTCCAAGCTCCGGGACTTGCAGAGCCTCATTGCATCGCATGAAATTTGCTCCGATTTATATTTTACTTCTTTCTACATATTTTCTATTTCTTTTTACCCGTCCGGAGAGCGGAGGCGACGCTTCGCCTTGTTCCGCGGCGACTCCGCCCGGAGCTGGCTGGGCCGACGCGAGTATTGGGAGGCGGCCTACGCCTCCGGGCGCTACAAAGACGTCTACGCCCGGCCCTCAACTTGCCGAAGGAAGGAAATCCAAGGAAGGAATTCTAAAGCTCTCCAAGGAATGGAATCAGACCTGTGATGCTATTTGGCCGCCGCTCGACTTCGCCCTCACTCTTTGAGAACTTTTGACACTTTTGCACTGCGGGACACGGGCGTTTGAGTTTTGACATTCGTCAGGTACGTGACAAAGATGCTTGGCCAAAGCTTTGGAAGCCGAGTGCTGCACGTGGGCTGTGGCAACAGCCGATTGGGTCGCACGCTCCACGACGCTGGCTTTGTCCGTGCTACACGGCGGCAGCTTCGGACGGCCTGCAAAATTGCAAAAGCTGGACATTTGAGACAGTCTCAGGTTTCGCGCGCACGCAGTGGTTAGAGAGCTTCCGATATTGACATGCTTTCTGATATTTTCTGAGTGGGCGAGCCGTAGGTGACGAACGTGGACTACAGCGACGCGGTGATCGAGATGATGAGGCGCCAGGAGCCGCAGCTCACGTGGCTCTGCGTGGATTGCGCCGCCCCCGGCGCCCTCGGCGCGGATTGCTTCGACTTCTGCATCGACAAGGCGGGGACTCGCATAGCGTCGCATAGCGTCGCCTTGGGGTCGCCTTGGGGTTGCCTTGGGGTTGCATCTTGGACAGTCTACAGGGAGCTCTGGGAGACTTTTGGGAATGGATCAGGGCGCCATCGACTCGCTCTTTGAGTCGAACACGAAGGCAATGTGGGAAAATGGCTGCTCGATGGTGCGGGAAATTCATCGCGCCTTGAAGCTTGGCGGATTTCGTGGCAAAAACTGGCGTCAGTTTTACCCCACCCACCCACATCCTACCAACTCCCCTCCTCCAGACACAAACGAATGTGAGCCAAGGGTAGCACGGAAATGGTCGGCTGCCAGGAAATCCTTGGCACGGGATGTTGGAGTGCGGAGGGGCCAAAACCCGCCGAGGGGTGTCAAGGCTATCATTCTGGAATGTGAACGAACCCGGCCAGTTCACTCCAACCTCCCAAGCCCAATCCATTCCACTCCACTCAGCCATTATGCCATGCACAATGTTCCGTAGCGGTTCATCCTGCTTCCCCGACATCGGGACATCCTGACGTCCTTCTGCAGCCCAACACACAACAACCGCCACGTGCATCCCCCACATGCCCAGTGTTCCCTCACATCCTCAGGAGCGGAGCATTTCGGGTTCAGCCTGTGTCGCCAATATTTTGAGTATCCTCCGCACATTCAACACTTCCAGAATCAATCCCGCATCTCCTGCATCACTGGCTTCATCCGCATCCCTGCCATCCTTTGCATTGCCAGCATGCTCTGCATCCCTCCCCAGCAAAATACCCCGCTTGACTGGGCTGGGCTTGAAGCATTCTGAGGCAATGTTGACTGAATGGCACGCAAGGATTGACGGTGGCAAGTACCTCGTGATCAGCAACGGTGGCGTCGGCATTGAGATTCTGCGAGCAACCTTCAGAAGTGTAGAGGTGGAGCACATGGAAGGCTATGCTTGCGATTTGTACTACAAGCTGATAACCGTTATTCTGTGTACCAAGTGAGTGACGAAAAACATGCAGTGCAAGTTGAGCACAGTATTGCAACGTGAATCCTATGTCCGCAAGACTGTCAGCCTTTTCCTCGCCTTCTCTCAAGAGGTGATCATTCATAGGGTGCAATGTGATCCTATCAACTTCAATTTGCTTGAGCATTGACTCTGAGAGAGTGTCATGGACCACGTGTGAGCCAGCCAATCAGCGTATACTTGGACAAAAGGCATCAACAGGTCTGAAATCTGCCCGGATCGAGCCATGGGGTGGTTGCGCGAGGTGCTGCACTTGGAGGAGGTGCGAAACGGAACGTAAAAGTTGGTCATGCGTCGCGAAGTCGATGCGTCCTCTAGACCCTCCCGTTCCGGCGTCAAACCCTAGATGACCAGGCACTACATTCCGATGAGCGCAATGCAGGAAGCACAAACTCAGAGCACGGAAACGCGAGATTGCGAAGCAATACACAAGTCAGAAAGAACATGTGAATCTCAGAAATGATTTTAATGAGAGGTCCGGATGGGGACAGTCGGGAGGCCACAGGAGCCTTTGGTCGCCCCAGGACCCACAAGATGCAAGTTGTTTCTGCATTTTCTGCTTTGTTTCTGAATTTCACAAATGCCGGGAGGCGCAATCATCTTTCTTTCTAGATTTTTCAAGCTGTGAGCTGTCGGCCTCCGTCCCGGTGTTGGTTTAGGGTTGGTTTCAAGTTGCTGGAGTGGCGTGTGACTTAAGGTGGGTAAGCTTGGTTTACCGGGTTAATGGCTGGTGGGGGTGGATTTCAGATTGGTTTTGGGGGCTCTGACGGATTCTGTAGGGCTTAGCATTGGCTTAAGCCTTGTGAACCTTGAGAGTGTGTAGGGTTTCGGTTGATTTGGGTTGGCTTTCGAGTTGGTGCGGTTGAGACTCGGAAGGCCTGTGGTTGTCAAGTTTGTCAGCCTGGCAAACTCATGCAAGAACTTCTCAAGAAGGAGACATGCAGCCAAGACATGAGCTGCATATACCAAGAATAATACGCACGGAAATGCACACATTTGTATTTTCTGGGGGTTCTATTTGTTTGCATCGCCTGGCCGAAGATTTCTCCAAGGTCGGGTCTCGGAGATACGCCTCCTTCCTGGAGACGGATAGGCCTTTGGAAGAATCAGACAGAAGTTGGAAGACTTGAAGGGAATAGAAGGGAATAGAAGGGAATAGAAGGGACGACTTGACGTTGAACGCAAGCGAGACGTGGCAGGACCGATGTGCTACCCGGCGTTTGCCAGCGCTATGTCATCACCGACGGCCTGCACGATCTCGTGTTCGGCATCCCCGAGTGGAGCCTTGGATGTGATTTCTAGTTGTGCTTCTGAGGCATCGTTCGAGTTCTGAGCGTCGAAAGATTCCAGGCGGCACTACAAGTCGGAGTGGATGGCTGGCCGGAAGTCGGCTCCCTTGCATGCCATGAAGCACGCCGACTACCAGCTGCTGCTTCAAGCGCGGAAGCATTTCATCAAGGCCTGACCGTTGACTATCCTTCGCCTCTTCGCCTCTTCGCCTCTTCGCCTCTTCGCCTCTTCGCCTCTTCGCCTCTTCGCCTCTTCGCCTCTTCGCCTCGCAGGCCAGGGAGCAAATGTGCCTCGGACCCAAAGCTGCACGCGGCCTGCACCGAAGTGCCACTGACTCAGGCTCATGCGGGATTATTATTCTCCGTCGGCCTTTGATCGCTTGAAGCTCCGCAAGGACATCCTGAACGTGCATGTATGCTTCAAAGTGTGAACCTTGAGGACCCTCCAAAGTTCTTCAAGACGGTGACCACGCCTGTTGCCGCCCTGTCCTGTGGTGACGGTGGCCTTGGTCTCTGGAATGTCGCGTGACTGCCAGGGGAAGGAGATCCAAGCAGGCGGGCGTCGTGCGGCGTAGGCCGGGCTGGCAAAGTTGAATCGCAGGCAACCAGCTCATGAAGCGAGTAGTGGACAAGCAGAAGTCCTCGGAGTTTGAGGATTTGTGGTGACTGTTGGAAACAAGACGTCTCTGATTCTGTGATGCTATCTCCCAGGTGCTCTGGTGAGGTATAGGTCGTATAGCGACCTTTTCGCTTCGCGTTTCGAGTGCTCTCGGTGTGGAGCGCTCTCCGGGAGGACAGCGTGAAGGACGTGGACTACGCCGCGCGGCGGCGGCAGCTGCTGACGCTGGAGGGCGCCCAGCAGCTGGCGACCAACCTCCAGGTCATGGCTCAGCGCCTCGGAACTCGGAAAGCGAGAGGAGAGCATTTTTTGTTTGGACGCATTCGAATTCGCATCGTTTCGCATCGCGCTTTCGCATCGTTTCTCTCTCAATTCTCAATTCGCTCCAACTAAAAGATTGGGATCCAAATCAAAGCTGACATGGCTTTCGATCTCTGCCTTGTATTGGGCAGATCTCTGGCATTTTCCAGCAATTTGCACCACAGCCCGTAAGACGAGGAGTGACAATGTGAGAGGGCCATAAATGTTATACGCAATGTCACTGCCTTGACGGATGAAACGTCAAGAGCCCTGGGCTGCCTTCCTGCAACCGACTGCTAGACCCTTTCAGTGCGCGGAAACGATGAAGTGAGCGGATGCGCATGGCAATCGCACGCACACAGCTTCAATCACATGCAAATAACTTCCCTTCAGGTTGGCACGGTCATACTTGCCGGCACATGCTTTCTGCTGCATGCTTAGCTGCTTGTTACAATTGTTGCACGTGCTGTCCCAAATGTCCCAAAAGTAGGCAGTTTCCTGGGAGCTGAACATCGCACTGGGGTCGTAGCGCACTCGCCACGTATTTTCGGGTCTCGCGCTCTCTGAGGCAGTGCGGTGCTCGGCTGCAGCAGGCTTGACCGGAAAAGTGCGTGCCCGCCCTGGCCGACGAATCTGGATGCTTTGAAGCCAGGCGCTTGTGGCAAGGTGAATTCGGTTTTGGGGTGCGCGACTTGTCGCAGATTCCAGAGCAAAGGCTCAAGGTGCTTCGTAGCTGTTTGGGAAACCCTTGAGTCCGAAGCCCTCAACAAGCCTCATGAAATACGATACCGAATGGTCATGATATTACGCGATATATGATGCGTCATTCAAACGTGTTTCGAAAGCAAGGCATCGTAGCCCTTCCTTCAAAAGCTTGAGATCCGGCTGACTGCTCCCGCATGACGCCTCGAAGGGTGTGAGACCGTGCCTTTTGCCAGCTTGCAGAGACACCGAACATTCGGTTAGTGAGCTGTTCGGAGTTTGCTGAGTTTCCGCGGGGTTCCAACGAGTTTTGTCGGTTGCCAGCGGCTGTGCGCGTCAGCTCAGTCAAAATGTAGATCTCACCGGAAAGTGCTTTGCCAGGCCTTCTCGATGGAAGGCCGGAGGATTCTCCTTGAGCACACGTGCGGATTGCTTGAGTCAGGACGGGCAAGCAACTTGAAGAAAGCGAGATGCTTAGTCACAAGAGTCACAGCCAAGCGAAACCGAAACTCGCAAGACTGTTGCATGACTCGTATCTGCGAGTTCTCGATTCGAGGTGTGGGCAGACTTCGAGTCACGGCTGCCCAACGCCGACTTTGTTGCCATCGACACGGAGCTCACCGGCGTGGACTTGGAGGATCAGTCACGACAATGAGTGCAAGAGCAAGACGTTGAGCCATTGAGCTAGATTGTATGGCTGGCGAAGGCACCTATAGCTTTGCAGTTTCGTAGGGCGAGATCGACTCCTTCGACGACACCGCTAAGTCACGCCTAGACCGGCATTGCCGGATAGCCGAGCGGTGACCCAGTGGGCTTAAAGCGGCAAGCCTCAGCAATGCTTCGGAGGTACACCTTGATTCAGCTCGGGCTCACCTTAGTTAGCTGGGCGCCAAGTTTAGCTTCGTGTGAGCTGGTTTTTCTGGGGGCTACCCCGCATGTCTCGGGGATAGTCCGATGCATTTTGCTTGTCGGTCACTGCACTCACAGTGCGTGCGCGACAGCCCCACGTGCTGCACGCCATCATGTGCTTGGAATTGTGGAGCCCCCGTCAGAGAAACCTCGTTCCTTGGCTACGGAGCCGCACTACACAACCGCCTGCCTAGCAACCACAAGCCAACGCCACGAACACAATGTAAAGGAGAAACCCCGTGCACAGGCCACGAACACTTGTTCATGGATTCCAAAATCTCCTGTATCACGGAAAGGAAGAACTTTCTGAGAGAATCAACTGTCATCCATGGAAACGAAGCCGCACATGCATCATCAGACCAGAGGTGCTGGGCATGTAGGGGGTCGCATCCGAAAGCTCCAGTGACAGCACGCACGAGCACAAACGAGTTGCGAGCACCTGGGAATGTTTTGCATCGTTGCGCCCTGGGGAACCTCAAAAAGACGTGAAAGCTTCCAACAACATCTGTCAAAGTTGGGCAAACAAATAATACCGACGGTCCAGACTGACCTCGATGATGCAACTACAAAACCTGCCTCTGTGAGGCAACCCTCTGCTAGCTGAAATGTGTTGCAAAGTTAGGAGACCTCCCATCTAGATGCTCGACTATTGGTGAATTTGCTTGTTTGGTGTCTGCTCAGCTGGCACAAGCAAAGGTCACGAGCGGAGCGGCAGGGAAGAGATCCTGAGCTTTGCCAGCTACAACCTCTTCGCGTTTCCATATGTCCGGAGTTCAAGCGGAATCCTTTTTTCTTAGGAGGCATGAGTTTCCGAGCTCCAGGCTGGGAACGACCTGATTGGCCGCGACCAGGGCTTCTTCTGCCAGGCCAAGCGTCGGAGATGCGACCCCTCCGACCCGCCCGCATGTTTGCCTGTGCCGTCGGCTGGAAGTCGTCTCAGGCCTCTGCCCTGCAGTTCAACGCCCAGCACAACGTGGACTTCAACACCTGGATCAGAGATGGGATCCCCTACATGAGCCGAGAGGACGTCCGCTTCCGCAGGAAGTGAAAGACATCAAGTCGGGCAGGACGAGCGCAGGTTCAAAAAGTACTACGGGTCCAAAGAGGGATCTGTGGCTCACGAGGAGAAGGCCAGGTGCAAAGCACCGCAAAAAGCACTGCAAAGCACCGCAAAGCACTGCAGAGCGCAAGAATTGGAAAGCTGAGGTGGGACTTCTCCGATTCTGGAAGGCGCTGTGCTCTCGGCAACTGCCCTTTGCCGGCGCCTCAGAGAGGCTTCACACCCGAGCCACGAGCTGAGCTGATTCTCTCCGCTGACTCCAATCCCCAAAGTCACCGCCGAATCTCGGAGAGTCCGTGCCTGACCCAAATCCCAAAAATAGTTTTGTCTCTAGCTAGGTGGTGCACTGCCCGCTGGACTTGTTCTTTCTGCTGGCCGCATTTGAGTGCTGCTCCGAGCTCCGGGTCGTTTCGACTTATGCTCTTTCTGATGGAAGCATCTCATGAGGCATGCACATAAACATATCATTTACAAATGTATACATTGACATATATATATATACCGTGTATATATATATATATATGTAATATTGCTACACAGTATGTTACATATGTATGCAATATACATATATATACATATATATATATATGTATATTCTCCCCCCCCCCATGAACAGCATGTGTAGTTTATTTTGTAGCCAAGAAAAGCAATATCGTGGTCAATTTCCATTCAAATTGCAATCGACTCAAATAGCATATCCTAGTTGAAATTCCTGTTTTTTTCCCTTTCAAGTTCACTCATTTCCTTGTTGGCCTTCTATCGTCTAAACTCTGATCAGATTGTTTGAACGCCTATTTAGAAAGTATGTGAGTAAAGAGACATAGAGAGAGAGAGAGAGAGGAGCGCGCGCGCACGCGTGTGTGTGTGTGTGTGTGTGCGTGTGTGTGTGTGTGAAGTTCACACCACTTGCAAATCCAGGTTTGTGCAAACCCGTGGAAATCATACCTGCCAGCAGGGAAAACGGCAACGTCCGTTGTTACCAAGCTTTTGCCTGCCCGCGCCCCATGACTGGCCGTGGAGGTGCCATCATGCAGCGTGTTACCCATTGCACTGCCTGAAGCGAGGGTTTTTCTGAGACTGCTTGGTGGAAACAGTTCCCCCCTTTGAGACACTCCCAAACAGGAGCCGATTCTTGTTGACGCCAGAAAAGAGCCAATTTTTTTGACAAGATCTCTCTGGAAGGATCTTTTTCGGGATCTGCGGATAGGGTCTCTTTGAGAGGATCTCTTGGCAAGATCTGTGTGCAGGATCTCTGAGAGAACCCACAAGCTCCCTCTGGATCTGTAAAGAGAGTCCTCTAAAAGATGGCCAGTGCGCAAGATCAGTTGAATGGATCCCTAAGCAGGACCAGCGCAAGATATTCATGGAGGATCTTTGGCAGGATCCCTGGGTAGGATGCGCGTAAACCAAAAGCAAACAATGTCTCGCCGCAACACAGTTTTTTTTTGGTCCAGGTTTTTGCTTTTCCCTCCGTTTGCATCTTTCTTTAACAAGTTTCAGGCTTCCTGGCTTTCCCTCCGGAAAGCTGCCGCGAAGCAATCCCTCGAAACTCCCATCGCTAAGCCTTCTGGCAAAGTTTGTCCTTCGAGTTTTAGTTTGCTGGTTTGCTCAAGATTTGTTTGTTTTCTCGTTTAGCGTTAAAATCGGTTGTTTTGTTTTGCTGTCCCAGAACCCAGAACACCCTTGAGTTGTTTTTTGCGAAACACCCTTGAACAAACCAAGAAACCAAAATGTTTGGCTTGTTTCTTTACGCGCAGAAGCAGCTCGACGTTCACCAAATGTGGAAAGAACACTCTCAAAGGCTCCAAAAAGCAAAGCCAACTTGGTGTTTGGTAGCCTCCAACAAGCCAGGCCGTGAAACACCGACAGTAAACATATGTATATACAGAAATATTTATGCATGTACACATGTCGTACAACATCTACATCGTTTCTTGTCAAGTCGACAGGCGACGGCCGCTGCCACGCAATGACCCCCGGGCTATGGCGCAGCTCATCCGCCAGTGCACCCCCAAGGCCAGGACGTGCAAACCCAAGGCGCGTTACTCCTTTCCGCTCAAAGACCTCACCCGTTTCTCAAGATTTGATTCGATGCGTTTACCGGGTCGGATAAATCAAGCTGTCGGGCTGTCGGCTTGTCTAATTTTGAACATTGCGAAGGTCATTGACACGGCTCACCTCCACGGTGCCCTGGGCGGCTTCAAGCGCCTGGGCCTCACCAAGTTCGCGGAGGATGCCAAGGCGCGCGAACAACGGAGCAAACTAAAACTAATGAAAACGAAGTAAAGCACATCGCTTGCTTTTTCACGCCTGCGTCCGTCCGTCCCGATCCTGCTCTGCCTGTGCACGCGCGGAAGGCGAGGTATGAAGAACTGGCAAGCAACGGCAGCGTGCCACAGCTGAAGTTCCACCTGGCCGGAGAGACTGCTAGCCACCTGGCCGCACGAACCACGACCTTTTTAACGTGCCTCGCCTTCCGCGCATCGAAGATGAATGCTACATGCCCCTGCCAGGTCGGTACGATTCCAAGAACGACCTTGCTCATGAGGTCACGTTTTGGGTTACCGCGGGACCGGTTGGTTTCCATTTTGACAGGCCGGCTTTGACTCCTTGGTGACAGCGCAGCTCTTCGCTTATCTACGTACCATATCCCCGACACAAGTCAGAGAGGCACAGAAGTGAGAGGTGTCAGGCTGTGATTGAAGCGGTTGCGATGTATGATGCGTTTGAAGCTAATTGTTGTACACACGCGCGCATGTGCGAGTATGTGTGTGTGTCTGCGTGTTTGTGTGTTTGTGTGTCTGTGTGTCTATGTGTCTGTGTGTGTGAGTGTGTGTGAGTGTGTGTGTGTCTGTGTGTTTGTGTGTGTGTGTGTGAGTGTGTGTGTGTGTGTGTTTGTGTGTCTGTGTGTCTATGTGTCTGTGTGTGTGTGTGAGTGTGTGTGTGTGTGTGTGAGTGTGTGTTTGTGCCTGTGTGTCTGTGTGTCTGTGTGTGTGAGAGTGTGAGTGTGAGTGTGAGTGTGTGTGTGTGTGTGTGTGTGTGTGTGTGTGTTTGTGTTTGTGTGTGTGTTTGCGTGTGTTTGCGTGTGTTTGCGTGTGTTTGCGTGTGTTTTGCGTGTTTGCGTGTTTGCGCGCGCATTTGTGTGTGTGTGCGTGTGTGTGTGTGTGTGTTGTTTGTTTGTTTGTTTGTTTGCTTGTTTGTTTGTTTGTTTGTTTGTTTGTTTGTTTGTTTGTTTGTTTGTGTGTTTGCGCTTGTGTTTGTGTGTGTTTGTGAAAGTGTGTGTGTGCGGAGTGACAGAACACCCTGTCACCACCATTAAGCTCTGGATGTTATCGCAGGGGGGCAAGGCCTCCAGTGATGAACCTTCCCCAACGAAGCTGCATCACTGGAGGGGATGCAAGGCCTGATCAGCCTTGTGTACCTGCAACTTTTGAGTGATTCTAAAAGTCTATTTGGCCCTCTTCTTTTACTGCTGCGTGTGCTTCATGTTGGAACTTGTAACGTTTTCGTCACTAGAGGGAAACCGAGTGCATCGCGAGCCGAAACTTCACCCGCTCGAGACTCATCACGGAAAGGTTGTACTCGAGACTCATCAGTTGTACTCGAACGATTAGCATCCTCCCTTGGGAGTTGAAGTGTGATCGCCCCATCTTGGGGGAACCTCGGGTGTACCCATCGTGCGACCTCGGGCCGGTTCGCCGGACAATTTGACCTCAACGCTCTTATCATAGCCCAGCGGAATTTCACGTTTAAGCAGGAACGAGGTTTCACTAAAGGGAAGACAGCCATCAGATCATAGCGAAGTCTCACCAATTTTGATTCTGTGTGCTGTCCGTGTGAAGCTTGACCTTGGGTTGATTTGAGCTTGGCATGATCTTGCGTTGACTTGCATCTCATTTTTCTCAAGGCTGAGTTGGTGCACCTACTGGGTTCGCTGAGCCGTCATGTCACGCCGGGATGATCGTGACAGATCCAGAACTTGACGCAGACAAGACAGGAGTCCTTCTCAGACTCGTAAAGCTCGCAGGGGTCTCGGACGGCATGGATTGGTCCAACCCGATGACTTGGCAGCACAATCACAACTTCAACCCTACCAGTTCCTTCCCGCTGTCGCAGAACAACTACCTGCAACACCCTCCGTCAACACAGATTCATCATTCGACACCATGCTTTCACCAGCACCCTCTTGTCAACTACATGATGCCGTTCCCTCCGGAGCCTGCGCCCGCCAAGATCATGAAGACGACGATGGTGTTACCTGACAACCCACAAGGACATTAACCGGTACCTGCGGCAGCAACTGGCCCCCCGGCTCCGTTACCAGTGCAGCCCTAAGAGGGCTTGGCTCACCCCACGACAGCCCGGTGAAGGCTTGCTTGACAGAACTCCGCTCTATTCCTTCACACTACCCATGACGGTCGCCACCACATCGCACACTTCGCACCGTGATATGTCGGGCATGGATGTTCGTGATGTTCGCCTGGTCCAGGTCATCCACGGCGGCATTTCCAACTGGCTACTGAGGCCGTTTGCACGCGGACGATTTGTGACGTGGGAAGGATTTCGCACCCGCACCGAGGCCTTACTGTGGAGTACTTGTTCGAAGCTCCTACGCCGATCCCAGCCCCTGAACTTGCTCACTTTGGAAAAGGGCCTCGCAGGATCGATGGGTCTCAACATTGACGACTTCAATCAGCGGACCAAAGTCCATGAGCACCTGGGCAATCTCGTTCTTGAATTCCTACACCAACATCATCAATCCATCAAAGCCCACTCTCCGGAAGATGACACGCTGCAGAAGTATCACAACCTTAAACGTGAATATGAGCTCCTTCAAGCGCAGTACTCGGCATCACAGCGATCGTCGCCTCCCTCTACGGGCGTATTCGGAACTGGTCACACCACCTCCGGTGAATCACTCACAGTCTTCTACTCCCGCCAGTTCCTTGCCCACGGTGAGTGCGGCTGCCCTCAACGGCAAGTCCTACGATGCTCCACCTCAGCAACAACCTCGGATCATCCAATCTCTTCATGGCATGTCGCCCCCGCCTGTCAAGCAGACCGCGCCGAAGTTGCTCACAATGCACAGCGCGCCAGAGGACATCATCAAGCACTACACCTGGACCAGCGAACAGCCTCGCGTCTTCCTGAAGCAGGCCCCCACAACCGCCGCAGCACCGGCATTGATCAAATGGGCCAATTACCCTTCCCGTCTCAATGGCAACAAATCCCTGGACGCCATGGCAGTTCAACTTCAACAAGCACGTCAACGTCTGGCGAAAGGAGATGCTCCTACCTTTGCTTCCATGGCTTCTTTGTGGGCAAATCAGCAGAAGAACATGAAGACAATTGTGCAAAAAGCAAGACAAATGCAACGCAAAACAGCTCACAAGTCATGACAAGCACACAAGGCAATGACAGGCAAGTTTTCAAGCGCAAATCACGACGCCTGCCACTCCGGGCTCATACTGGCTGGTAAGTGGCACTTCAGCCGGCAAGAAGTCGAGCTGTCACAATGAGCAGGCATAGCGCCTTGTCCGTGAGCTTGGTGCTGTAGACGGGCTCGAGCCCAACCTTGCTTTGAGTGTATGCATATCGCTGCCACCTTACAGCCGTGATTTACCAGTTGTGCATCATGTGGACTGAGCTTCAACGCAGTGGAATCTTCGATGAAGTTGTACAATGGCGTACTTTGTCTACCTCTCTGGAAACTTTGACGTTTGTGTCAGCATGCTGGTGGTTTTGCTTTCCTGAGCTCCCACTACCAGCGGTGCCTCCCGATGAGTGTGAATCAATCACCATTTACCTCATTTAGACGTGGCCCTGGAAGTGCTCACCCTTGTTCGCATCGCGCTCCAGATTCCGATGACGGCGGTGTCCAACACCCAACATGCGGTGGCCAACAGGTACGAGATCCACAGATGCCGAACGACAGCGTATCTTCTTGTTTGCTTCTTGCAGCGACTCATTTCACAGGACATTGGCTATATCCCTCCGTTTTTAGAAGTACTTCACTTCTACAAAACGTCGCTGCTTCGTGAGATCATGTACTCTTCTTTCGTAGATCAGCGGCACCTCAAATCACTTCGTGCTCGCCTTCCCGACCTGTACGACTTCATACAAGATCCGGCACATCATCAACAACCCTGTGTCTACGTTAGGATTTCACCATGGCGCGGCCCATGCTACATTGGAGCTACGGATCAGGATGTTCTGCGCATGGAGCACTCTCGTTGCCGCAAATATCTGCAACTCCTACGTGGACAGCATGCCTTTTTTGAACCAGCGCTTCATTATTGGAAGCGAGCCAACAATTACTGGCTGTTCTGTGCGATTCCTATTGAGATCCGACTCCCCACCTTTTCGGTGTGGGCCCAGGAAAGTAAATGGCAATATACGCTTCGAACCCACTTAAATGCGCCCTGATGCACAGACTTCTTTGGAAAATTGGCTTCCGTGAACATTTGGTTGACTTCAGACGGCACTCGCTCGACTACATCCCAATTTGCATCAACTTCGACCTGATGTGCTGGACGATATTCAGGCACATTATTCTGCCTTGTATCAGTTAGGATCCAACACAGGCACGTCGTTCCAAACCATGAGAGATCTTCTATCGGCGGCTTTTCCTCTGACTCAGCTTTAGTTTTTTCTACGACTCACTGCATTTGTCAACGAGCCGTTCCGCTCCAAGGCACAGAAGCTACTCGCTCGGGTATTGCATAAGCGAATACTCCAGATACCTGCCACTTTGACACAATTACTACTTCCGCCTCTACATGCTCGAGACTGGAAAGCCAAACTCGAAACCTGGTTGCAACGGCGGGTGGCGTCCAATCGCAATCTTTTCCCTGCACCATTCCTCCCCAAGATCCGCGTCGTTGAAGCTCGCCGTGCGACCCTGGGTGATCGCATTTACAACTACCGCAAATGAAACGGCAGCAACGATGGACCCCGGACTTCTTTTCCATGTTGTTGCATCGACGTGGATGATCGCACTACATTTCGCGCGCATTCTCATGCTGTTGTTTTAAATGAGTTCCAGTGCATCAACGCTGACATTGTCGCTGACATCATGTCCGCCTCCATGAAGGATCAATACTTGGTGATGTTGATAAATTTCAGCAGCGTTTCACTTCGCAACTTCGCAAACTGGCTCGCCGGTGGAAGGTCCAAGGTTCCAGCTTTGATGCGGACTCCCAGCCCATCTTGTCTGAGTTGTTTGATGAACATCGCTGCAATGCCCAAGACCAGGCGCGCTGGACCTCCGAGTCATTACAACCCACGGCACGTGCCCTTACTACGTGGGTTGTCACTCCTGCGGATTTTTTTCCCCTTCGCGAGCTCACGTGATTTGCCCGGCCTTGTTTTCCATTCTGTTACACAAGACCTTTTGCGCAGGAGAGGTATTTGCATTACGCCCCTCGACTTCAGCAACGATATGCTTGGGGACTACGACTTCAAGCTCCTCTTCCCACCGCACGCATTTTACCCAAACTGACCAAGGACTGGCTCAAAGCGAGACCAATCATTTCCTTCGTCCGCACGCGGGCAGCACCTCTCCTCACGGTATTCGGGGCCCTCATCTTTGAGCTCACCAAAATCACCTTTCCGGACGTCCCGGGACAGCTTTCAGTTCAGGACCTGGTCTATCAGCTCTGGGAGGCATT